GTAGGGCTTATATTTTCAAATCGAGACCCCCAAATTTCACGATAATCTGATTTCACGATAATCCGTAACATTTATTATTTACCGACTCAGTCCTGATCAGAGACATATATTATACGTAAGTAAATTTAATCACGTATCATATATGCTTCTGATTAGGGTAAGTCTGGTAAATAATAAATAATAAGCTTGAAAGCCCAAAGTCTGGCCTTTTGCGCCACCCGTTTGTACATATGTATTTAAAAATATTATTGTGCTTACTAGAATGTGCTGATTATTCACATATATTCCCTGTAAAAAACTAATTGATTTTAATGTAATGTCCTTTCAACCTGCAATCAGATACAACTTGTATATACCATATTACAAGGATCATCTGGGTAATAAACCTTTTTTCCATCAGAATTATTATATAAATGAAGAGTAATATAATCCCTGTTCTCCCCAGTGGTCATAATATGTTTAGATAATAAGATACGAGTTTCTGAAACCTTCTCTGTATCATTTTTTATTTCTAAGCAGAACTGTGGATTATATTCTAAACACAATATAAATCAATCGAATTCAGTAATCTGGAAATTATTATTAGGAAAAAAAAAACATACCGAGATTTAATGCATCCTTAAGCACTAAAGAATCTAAAGGCCACGATCTAACATTTATTATAAGAAAATGAACAGTATAGTAATTACAGAAAAAAAGAATAAATTGATTATAAATAAATACACACTCACGAATGTAATGTATAATGATATTTGAAGAGTTCAGGATTCCAGCTCATATGTATCATATTAAAATTTTTACATACAGAATCAAAATCTATCCAAAAAATTCCTGTAGTATTTCAAATATAGTTCTACTCAATATTAGGTGTTAAATCCTATAAACGTTGTATAATATAACTCCTACCGTCATCATTGTGAATTGCTTGTAAACGATCATACTTTGACAAAGACATTAGCTCAGGTGTCCAATTAATTTCATCTAAATGGCTATATGGTCCCGTCCATCTTTTCATACTCCAAGGATTTTTAACCTAAATAACTGTATTGATGAGAGTAGATTGAAAAGGTACTAAATAGCTTATTGGTAGACAACATTCACCTGCAATAATTGCAAACCATTAATCTCCCGGGCATCTAGATATCATAAAAAGAATGCTAATGCATATATTCAATATCCAGCTAACACAAACACATATTGGCCTTTAATGTATAACTTACCTAACACTGCGTATGCATGTGTTGGAACGAGACCGACATCATCAGCTTCATCGTCGCCTGTGGAAATAGTTACTAAGACATCGCCTTTTGTGGAAATGTCAGTTATATATGTAAATAATATAAAATTATTAAGCTTATGAATTTGTTATTATCATGTTTACCACATTCATGACTACCCAATAATCGTTTCCATGTGTGCTCTTTATCGAAATCATCTCTATATGAAGTGTATACATTATGTGAAAACAAAGCATATAAAAAAGCATCTTCAATAATAAAAATTAAGGTAGCTGAAATTTACTCTTCAATAAAAATAAGCTCAGGGATCCACCCAGTAAGTGTGCTATATACATAATAAAAATCTTAGTAATTTGTTGTTGATAAGATGCGCAAAAAATAGTACACATCTAACTTACTGTAGATCAATCCCGGAATTTCTAATAATTAGTGAATATTATAAGAATAACAGAGAGAATCAATTATAATTAAACCAATGCAATAAGTACATACGATCCTGGGAAATTATATCCACCCATCAATTTCATATACTAAAATGTTAGTTGCACATAAGAATTAGATGAAATAAATTCAGTTATAATATATAATCCTATGCTAAACAATTTTACTTACAGCCTTTTCAATAATGCTAGGCCATAGTTCATCTTTGTTTGTAGAGAAGGTACACATTAGAGTTCCATCCCGAGATACTGGAAACAGGTCATCAATAACTTCATATTCATAATATTAGCAGAAATTTATGAAATATAAATTGGCTTTATATTAAAAGAATAAATTACAATAACGGTGCAAAATGATTATTCACCAACCTAAATAACGTATAAATAACCAAGGATCAAAAGTAATGAATAGACTCGTACATGAATTGTATATAGATATAAACACACATTTAATGATGCTTACTTTTCTCGCAATGCCATTGGAGAATAATTTAATCATGTATTTTCCACTTGGGTTATATACAGGGCCATCTTTGCCTTGTGGAAAGATACATCTTGTGATTAACTATTAAAAAAAAAAAAAAAAAAATTAAACAAGATATCATACTTAACACTACACAAAAATATGGTACCAACATTGACCTTTTTATGGAATTTTCGCTCATGTGCAGCACTGGCGCACAAAGACGCGACAAATGAACAATCAGTAACAATGTCCTATAAGATTAAATTGATATATTAATTCAGAATTAATGAAGCCGATAATTTGTTACCTTTACCTGTTTAATAGCAGAACTGGAGATCATAACGATCATTTTCGGATTGGACATAATTTGGCATGGTCGCTTCCATGCTCCAAAGTTAGCCATTTGTTTATCCGATAAAGGTAATGTACCGTCTGGATCTCTATAAAATAATTGATGATATAATTTAATATTCATAATTATAATGCATAATCCTTACTACACAGTCTGGACCCATACAAAAATGGTTTTTCATATTTAAATTCTTCTTTTAAATCTGCATCCAGCCATGGCAGATAAGATTTTCCATTAATATGGGATGTACGTTTAAGTATGTCAATTTCTTTTTGTGTAAGTTTGTACGAAGATGCTAATAAATTGGTAAAAATAGAAAATATCGTAGAACACATTATGATCAACATAGTAGATCTGGTACCATACTTACCGTATAGCACTGTATTCAGTATCCGCTTAGAATAATAATCCTCAATATTAAAGCTCGGTATAAATTAGGCTTGCAAGGTAAAAGTACCCTTTGGTTTGTATCCTCCTCTTCATATATTATCTCCGGGTACAAATCAAGTTAATTAGGGTATTTTTGATTTATACGAGTACTGAATACAGTGCTTTACGGCAATAGCAATATCTTTATTATTGGAAACCTTTTAACTTTTCAGCTCTATCAAACAACTGATTTACTTTGGTGGTCAAGTTCTGCTTAAGTGACACGTTCTTTGTTTCTGTGTATTAAATGGAATAATTGTAGAGACGTTGACACGAAAAAAAATTTTTTATAACGTGAAAAACCTTTAATAGCCTTCAAGAAAATCTCTGCAGCCTTTGTATATAACTCTAAAGCCTTTTCTTTATTTCCTATTTTATCCTCATTAACGGCCCGATTTGCAATATCAGTTGCTCGTTCACATAGTTTTGGAAGTTCGTTTGCTGAGTTTTGTCGGCTACTCATTTTCGATTAAAAAGGGAAAAGCATATATCAGCAAAAGCAAAGATTGGGTTAATTTTTCGAAGCGACTACCTCAATCACAGCTAGCATCGCGGACTTTCGCTGTGATTGGTTGATAATTTTGAACTTTACCGATTAATAAAATTAGGTTTTGTGTTACCACCCCCGCATTAACTATTTTAATCAAATTTTAAAATACTGATTACATAATTTGTCTTGGCGATTATGATAGGGGAATTTACTAATTCCCCCCACTTCTGATTGGTTCTACTAATTATTCACATATCAAATGTTAGTTTTCTTCGTATCTCATCATAGTTATCATAGTTAAAATGTTTTAATCTAAACTAGTCTTTTCAAATCTCAAGTTATCGATAATCCAGAATAAATTGTTATGCTCAGTTCAATTTTAATTTTATGTTCTCACAAAAACATCTATATAATGAGATTTTTTATGTTCTCACATAAGTGTAACCTAAAACTTTCATGTTCTCAGAGAACGTTTAGAACGTTGAATTTTGCACACTGGTTATGCTTTTTTCGATCTATTCTCTATAAAATATGCGACCAAAAATTAGCATACTAATTGATTTAGCCTGATAAATTAAAAATTATAGCATAGACCCATTAAAACTGCCAAGTTGCAGTCATAACGGTTATCTTTACAGCACCGGCTGGTTACAAGGCGTAAGCACGCTCTGCTTGCATTTCTACCAAACTGCCGGCTGGTTGTCATACTGCTAGTTGCTAGTGTGATTATCTCCAATTTGCATTTCCATGGATCTACCACTGACTGGTTACCAGACATAGTAGTCATGGGTCGAAAAACTAAAAATTTTGGGTGGTCTTAATCGCGGGGGGTATTATTTTGGGGATACTGTAGGCAGTGGCAAACGTTAGTTGTATTATAAAATAGATCCCAGATACATAGCTTCGTTGTAAGATGGAGTCGGGTTACCCGTTGCTGTGACTGAGATTGAGATGAGGCTTCGTGTTGCTTAAACAAGAAGATGCTACCATATGGGGTGTTATCTATTAAAACAGCCCTTTTTTACAATTTTTTGAAAATTGAGTTTTTATTAGATTCATATA